CTACAGGTGTCTGGAGGAATGTCAGTCAGGTTGACAAAAATACTCTGGATACAGGATCCTTTTAAAATCAATGTGTTTGGTCTGATCAGGCACTTCCAAGGTATTCACACTGAAGTTCTTGCTGATTTTTTAGATTGCTAAATAAACTAGTGCCAAGGTACTACTTCTAACATGTAATTAATTTGTGAGAAAGGGGTGAATATTATTTTTTACTGCTTCCTCTTCTGTAATAGCAAGGAGGCCAAACAAACAGAACAGAGGGCAAATCATTTTAGGTACCATATAAACATGACGAAAGCACAGCTAACAGCTGAAAGATTTACAACAGAACTAAGAGCTAAGAGATAGCAGGGTAATAAAAATTTCAGGTTGACAGCGTGCAAAGGTTAGGATTAGTGCATTAAGTGATAGGTGTGCTGGATTCCTAAGCATCTTTTTGTTGAAACCCAGTGTTAAACCAGAATATGAAGATGGGCAGTGTAATGGGGGGTGGAATTTGTGTGGGCTTTTCTAAAGGTTATATGAGAGAACATGGAGAAATTATTGAGCTGACCTGGCAAGCAGCTTAGATCTGCACAGCTGGCAGACACTTCCAAATAGGTGGTCTTATTCCTTATTTTACATAGAGGGACTGTGTACAGAGCATCCCACATCCACATTTCTGCATTGTAGACATCATATTGTGGGAGGAAATAGCTCAGTGGGAAGTACTGACCATTAATCATCCATCCTCTTTGATTTGCAGTGTGTATGAACTCTGAGCTGTTGGAACTATGGAAGCAGCCTGATAGTGATATGATACAAACATTCTGCTTCATAGCCATAGCAAACATGAAAAAGAAAAGTGATTTTTTTCCTTGATCATATTTCTTATTATCATAAGGTATTCTACTCACTGCTAAATTAAAATTATATATTTTTGAATCAGGACTGGATGATCACCTAATAGTTTGGAAAATTATCTCAAGGAGAACTCTTAGTGGTTTTGTTTTATTTGCAAAGTTAAGGCACACTTAAAAGAATATTGTGCCAATATTAGAGTAGTGCCAGCATTTTGACTTCTTCTCAAATTATTACCTATCTTTTTGCTCCCAGGAGGTAAAAGCCTTAATATTTTTATGCAAGTAATCAATCCTTATTCCTGTTTCTGGCAGTGAAGGTAGGAATGAAGAAAAAAACATAACCAGAGAAAAAAAAGATAAATTCAGCTCATTATGATTCTTTCCCACCTCTTCTACTGCTCTTTCCATTCATATTTGGAACCCCTAGAAAATATTACAAGAATTTTGAGTCAAAAATGTCTCTGCTGAGCCAAATTACCAACAACACCACCATTATTGTATATTTTTCTACTTCAAAGCAATGTCAGTACATACTGCATATTCCCCCAAATATTCAAAAATAGAGCAGCATTGGGAGCATTAAAGTAACACTAGGAAATCTTTTAGTGTATTTTGCAATACTTTTCCCTTTCATCCTTAACTGCTGTGAATTGTTGTAACCATCCTGAGAAAGAAAGGCTCTGTTAGGCATAAATGCTATGATTATAATGAAAGTGATTGCTTTTAAGGAAAGATGACACAGTACTGATTCAGGCTGTTCCTCATCCTATGTCCAGTCACAAATGACAAGAACATTGTTTTTGATCTTTTATAAATCTCATATTTGCAATGCACAAATTGATTTTTAGTTTGGGAACCATTCATTTCAGAGTACAGGTTGAACTTGGAGTGAATTTATTGTCTAAAGTAGTATGCATTCAGGAGCACTACCATGCTGTCCTGTAATTGAAAATAAAAGATATTTAACATTAGAGATTCAGTTTTACCTTCAGGATTTTTGCACAAACAGCAGTTAATGGAAAGGCATTATCATGCTCTTGGCATTCCTGTGAGGATGCTTACTCATACTGTATTCTGTAACTCATGCCTGAACTGTGTCTATTGTTGTTGAATGCAAACTGCTTTTTTGGCACCGCCTTACTTTGCTCCTAGATATCTCTGCTTTGAGGCAAGAACTCATCTAGAGAAAGCCCACAGCAGTACCACAGATCCCTTTCAGCCTCATTATAGCCTTTGGAACAGGGTGGTGTGCCTCGGTGTTGGGCAGTGGTTCTGTCCCAAGTGATTTCCAAGAAAAGAACTTGAAATCTTGGTAGATAAGTAGATCCAGGTGATCTAATGCGAGGCAGTCACTGAAATGTTGCACTCCTTAACCAGCCTTAGCAGACAAGGTGCTTCCTTTTCCCTATAGAAAGTCTTGCAATGTTAGCACAACTGGGTCAATTTAGATGGATCCTTCCTTTGCTATTCAGCAAAACCGTGAGGCACTACTTCCCACCATATCCTCATACTTAGTAGCTGTTATGCTACAAAAATATATCTAAACCTTCCAAATTCCATGTATGAATGTGGGTCACCACTGTCATTGAATATTATGTGTTAATGAATTCCATAACTGAATTGCTCACTATGTAAAAATGTACCTCCTTCTTCTTTGAAAATCTTCCACAAGGTTTTACTGGGAGTGTGTTTCTTTTTGAAATGCAAGAAATCCTGCTCTCTCACTGCCCACAGTACAGCAGCTCTGTCAGATCATTTCATGTGGCCAAGTAGAAGACCTCTAATCTTTTCTATTTTCCTGATGTGTATAGACTTCCATATTTTTATATATACCTGAGCAGCCTGCTGCTTCTCTCTATGGTTCCTGTTTTATTCTTGGTAAACTTTAGGGCTGACAGAAGACAGTAACAATTTTCACCCCTTAATAATTTTCCTCAGCCTTCTTCAGCAAAGAGTGATTACCTGTAGCTCTCTGGCTTGTGGTGGTTCCTGCTGTAAAAATAGCCAAAACAGATAATATTTTCTAAAGCTCTTTGCTAACATTTTTACTCTAACAGATAAATCCGAAATGATTCCATTGATGTCAATGGTGCTACTTCATAGTGGCATTCTGGAAACTGAAAACACCTTAATGAGGGCCATTAAGAGCATCCTGTTTGAGGCAGGTTTTGTAGAAGGTAATAATTTCATAAAAAACAAAAAAGGAAAAGACATCTTCAAATGCTTTAAATTTGAAGATTAAAGATTTGGGATTAAATTTGCAGTTTACACTGTGAAGAAAAATTCAAGAGGACATCACTGGGGCAGGGCATACTGACACTTTTTGTAGCTCTGCAGGTCATTCCCATCACAGATCTACGAACATTTATATGTAACAGCTTTACTAAGCATTACTAAGGCTGCTGATGTCATTAATTTTATTTTTCTGAGATGGTATTCCCTTCTTTCTTCTTCTTTCTTCTTCTTTCTTATTTCTTTCTTCTTTCTTCATTCTTCTTTCTTCCTTCTTCCTTCTTCTTTCTTCATTCTTCTTTCTTCCTTCTTCCTTCTTCTTTCTTCCTTCTTCCGTCTTTCTTTTCTTCTTGTGTTTGTTATTTATTGTTATTTCCCCTTCCTTTTCTGTCTTACTGAATTGTCTTTACCTCCGCCCCTGCATTTTACCTTTTTTTCTACACTTCTCTCCCATCCCACTGAGGATGCATAGTGAGTGTGGTGCTTGGTTACCTGTCGGGTTGAACAGTGTCAGTCCTTTTTGGACCACACAACACGAGGAAGGAAGGATTGAGATAAAAACAGATCTGACCAGAGCATGTTAAACTAAATTTGTTACCAGTATCCACAGCATTAGTTCAATAGTCAGAGTGTTGATATATTTGCTCTCAGAGGTGTTGTATGTTCTCCGAGTTGCACGTTGTGTAAGCACCACATTCCCTGCTGTGCTGTGTCACCTCTGGGGGCTGGCTTAAGGTCGTTCCTTGTACTGGGTAACACTGGTTTAGGAGATGGCGAAGATGCTGGCAGTGACACAGAGCTGGTGTTTGTGCTCCTCATCTCAGTGCACAGGGAGCCATCTGTTGGAAACTGTTAATAAATACACCTTCTACCTTGCGTATTTTGAATACTTTGAATGTGCTTGGGAGAATCCATGTGGGGTTTTTTCTTGTTTCTTTCTTTTTATTTTTCTTTTTTTTTTATTTTTTTTGTTACCAGTATCCACAGCATTAGTTCAATAGTCAGAGTGTTGATATATTTGCTCTCAGAGGTGTTGTATGTTCTCCGAGTTGCACGTTGTGTAAGCACCACATTCCCTGCTGTGCTGTGTCACCTCTGGGGGCTGGCTTAAGGTCGTTCCTTGTACTGGGTAACACTGGTTTAGGAGATGGCGAAGATGCTGGCAGTGACACAGAGCTGGTGTTTGTGCTCTTGATCTCAGTGCACAGGGAGCCATCTGTTGGAAACTGTTAATAAATACACCTTCTACCTTGCGTATTTTGAATACTTTGAATGTGCTTGGGAGAATCCATGTGGGGTTTTTTCTTGTTTCTTTCTTTTTATTTTTCTTTTTTTTTTATTTTTTTTTTTTTAATAAATTTAAAAATACACAAGGGAGCTTGACTATGTGTCACAGAGGACAATGGGAATCCCAGTCCACTGCTTCTCAAACCTGCTTCTCTGGAAAGTCAGAGAGGACATGATGATGAAGAAAAGCTTTTCCCTTTGGGAAAACTTATCAGCCCATACTGAAGGAAGCACTGTGGAGACCTCCTGTATGTGAGAGCCATATGGGATGCTCACTGATTTGAGGAGTCAATACTGTGAAGTGGCAGGACATGCAGGGGAATTGAAAGCAAGCCACTGATGTAAGGACAAACCCTGTTCTGACATCAGTCAATGCACAAGGGCTCTTTAGGTGCCTATAAACCTATTAACAAAGATACTTGTCTGACTGTCTATCATGCACGCAGGAGTAACTTAATCCATCAGTGAAATGACAGAAGAAAAAAAGAAAACCTTAGAAAAGAGAGTATACAATTTTTTATTATTATTTTTGTTAAGTGCAATTGTGTAAAGTGCAAATAAATCAACATAAAAATCCGGAAGAGAAAGTGCAGCCGAGGGAGTTTACCATCTTAATTAGCCAGAGGACCAGAACTGTTTTGGAAGACCAAAACAATGAGGTGTGAATTCTTTGATCATCATTAAGCACTTTCTTCAAGAGTTTGATGGCTTTTTCCCTGTGGAAGAGAAGCACAAAACATAGAGACCCTACTGAAAATTGCCAATGCAGACAACTGTGTTTCATTCCTGGTGTTCCTCTAGCATGCCTGGAGTTGGGCAGTGCCCCAAGAAAAGCAAACCTGACAAATTCTGTCCTGTGGGGTCAATTCTAGTTATGTTCCCTTGTTGCTGAAGAGTTTCTGCCTTTACTGAACTTGGTGGGTGGCACAGTACCTCTCCTTTCCTGCCAGGAGCACCACTCACTGGAAGAGCTCATTTGCAGAGCAAGGGCCACAGGATTTCCTTGGCAGAATGCAGGTGCGTGGGAGGACAGAGCAGCAGGCCATGCACTGCTGCTTTGTCAGCTCCTGGTTGCAGTGGGAACAGGCTGCAGGGGCAACACAGTGAGTGGACAGAGTATGCAGGAGTTGGGTTTTCCCAAGTTTGTTCTCCTTCTTTCTTTTTGGTAATATGATGAGGCCCTAGCAATCAGGGAGAGTGAAAGCAGTACCCAGGGGGCTTTGTCTTGGAAATCAAATTTCATTGTGAGTTTACCGTATAACTTCTGAATTCTTCGCTTGTCCTCTTCCAGAAGCATGAATGTTTTTGGGTTCTGATATGAGTAGTAAGGATACATCATAGATCTACGGTCATTGGAATGAGTAAGTCCCAAAGAATGGCCAAATTCATGAACAGCAACGAGGAACAAATTGACATCTGCAACAGAGAAGCACATAAATGGATGTTAAAGGTATGATATACAATTGATTTACAATTGACTTTTTACAATTGCTACAATTGACTTTTTGAAATACAATTCACATTCAATTTCAATTGAAAGTGCAGGAGAATTTGTATATTTCAATCCATCTTGGAATGAAATCCCAGGATTTTGATCCATTATTGTTGACCTTTTCATATAGCTGTAATATTTTATAAATAATCTACTGATTCCTTGCATATGCATCTAGAGACCCTGAGTCTCTTTTTGATTCTGCTTTTGGTCATCTCATTCCTAGAAGCACGTCAATTTACCTGTTCAGAATTTATGTAGGAAACAGGGTCTTACAGTTCTTCTTTAGCCTGCAAAAAGTGCTTTAAATTGTGGACAGGACAGACATTATGTAGGTGCTCATGGTAATGAAGCCCTAGTAGTTATAAAGTTAGTTGAAAAGGATAGAAATGTTAGCACTGAAGTAGCACTGAAGGATGAAGAGTAATGGAAAGCAGTTCCTGTGGCTGTGTTCTTCCAACATGTATAATATTTGCCTTCCCCTTTCATCTACACAAGTGAGCTTTACCTTGATTGACATCTGACCATTTTTCATCATCATCAAAATGAGCATCTCCACTATGCCTTTTTCCAGGTAGAAATGCATGGGCCAGTATTTTACCTCTTCCATCGAAAGGAGATCCATCACCATGCTCTGCATTTGAGATAAATCAATGTCATCAGATGAGATCAGTTGTCATATTTAACTTCAGCAAGTAGAAGCATGCTGTTGGTTTGTGCTAGTTTTGCTGGTTGCCAGTCCTTAAAAATATCTTACAATGGCAGCAAGGTTGTGAAAATGAGAAGTGAGCTTAAGGAAACACTCTCCATATTCATGACTTAAGTTCAAATCTTGTCTTTGATAGTTTGGTCTGCTGCATGTTTCAGGAAGAGCTGAATATATTTTCCCTGAGCTTTTGTCAGAACTGTGGTCCTGAGGCTGCAATCAGGGATGATTTCAGAATAAATAGTTAATGCTTGACAACACTGTTGTTAATGTCTGAATGTGTTTGATATGCTGGGCAATATTAGTTGCAGACACTCTCTCTTGCACTGATTTCAGTGTGGATGGTGATTTTGGATAGATATTTCGAGTTCCAGGAGGTGTTTGATGTTCTCCTTCATCAGGCATACCACATCTGGGCTTTGTCATTATTTCTTCAGTTTCTTTGTCTAATTTTCCAGTTACAGTCAGGTGGAAAAACTTCTGCATTTCTTTAATCCTTTCTTCTATGCTTAGGTTTTGTGTTTTGGACAAAATTGGAAAGAATGTATCAAGATATCTCTGGAAGAAGAGAGGGAAAATAAAGATTAATACATATATCTGTGTTATTTTGGTAATTGCATTTTCCATTTGTTTGAGTTGTTTCATCATCCTGCCTCATCCATGTCTAGTTTTAGCTGTATCTTTCCATTTCAGTTTACCAAATTCTGCTCTCTCAGTAGTGGAGATCAGCATATATAAAAGGAATTGTAACAGCAATGAAGCACTGTAAGTAAGAAATCCTGTCAAGTAACCACAATTTGCTGGGCATTCAAACCTACAGCCTTCTAAGACAGTACACATAAAATTTTGGGCATATATTCAAAATTACATGCTCCCCTTTATTTGTCAGTTGGAACTTGGTCTCTTTTTTATGTCCGTCTTCAGAGGTTTAAGTTTTAAGTCAGCGAGTTTATTTATATCAGACCTGCAAAAACTGTTGTAATGTGAGACAAGGACAATATGAGCAGGTAGGAAATGAATGTAGAAATTGAATCAAAAATCAGATGATTCATAATGTAGTTTTTTTTTTTCTCCCCATGTAACATACCTTTACTTTCTCCAGGTCTATGCTGATCCATGATTCTTGTCTCAGTTGTACTGGAAAAGCAGGAGTCTCAGGCAGGAAGATGAGAGCACAAAGCAGGAGGTAGTGCATGGTGCCCATCTTGATGAGGAGCCTTGCTGGAGCGGAAAGAGTTTGACTTTCTGTTTCTCAAGACCAGAGCTAAAACCCTTATATAGATCCTGACAGTGCCAATCAGCAATTTCATATGTCACTCACTTTCTAAAATTTGTGTCACCAGTTCCATTGAATATGCTTTGATTGAATTTCTGAGTTTTCTTGCTTGCTACGTGATAATACATCCTTCTTCTTTGAAAATCTTCCGCAAGGTTTTCTTGGGATAGTGGTTTTTTTGAGTTGCAAGAAATAGTGACTCTCTCACTGCCCACAGTACAGCAGCTCTGTCAGATCATTTCACGTGGCCAAGTAGAAGACCTCTAATCTTTTCTATTTTACTGGTGTGGATATTTTTCCTGTGTATATTTTTCTGTACACCCGTGCAGCCTGCTGCTTCTCTCTATGATTTTTGTTTTATTGTCTGTTAACTTTACTTTTAGGGCTGACAGAAGACAGTAACAATTTTCACCCCTTAATAATTTTCCTCAGCCTTCTTCAGCAAAGAGTGATTACCTGTAGCTCTCTGGCTTGTGGTGGTTCCTGCTGTAAAAAATAGTCAAACTGGATAATATTTTCTAAAGCTCTTTGCTAACATGTTTACTCTAACAGATGAATCCCAAATAATTCCATTGATGTTAATGGAGCCGCTTCATAGAGGCATTGCTGAAACTGAAAAAAGCATAATGGTGCCATTAAGAGCATCCTGTTTTGTTGAAGATATTATTTTGTAAAAACAAAAAAGAAAAAATATATATTCATATGCTTTAAATTTGAAGATTAAAGAATTGGGATTAAATTTGCAGTTTACACTGTGAAGAAAAATTCAAGGGGACATCACTGGGGACGGACATACTGTAGCTATGATATTTTATGAAAAATCCTTTCCTTTTTCATATTTTATGAAAAATCCTTTTCCATATTTTATGAAAAATCCTTTTTTTTCCAGGAAAAAAACATCCTGAAATCCTTTCAGGGGGGGAAAAAGGAGCTTTTTCCCCTCCTGAGGAGCTGAAGGCCTCAGGAGAGAAATGTAAACAATAACTATCTGCTGCTGTGGAATGCAACAGGTGCATCTTCCATTGGTCCATGTGGTTTGTTTTCAATTGATGACCAGTCACAGCCACCTGTGCTGAGGCTGTGAGCAGTCACAGGATTTTGTTGTGCGTTTTAGTCTATTCTTGTTCTTTGTAGCCTTCTGATCTCTCTGTTCTCTCTGTTCTTTTAGTATAGTTTTAATGTAACATTTTAGTATAATATATAACATAATAAATCAGCCTTCTGAAATGGAGTCAAGCCTCGTGTCTCCACACAGAGAGTGTTCGTCGCAACAGACATGCTGGCATTTTTTCATCTCATCAGGTCTTTCCCATCCCATATCTGTGAACTTTTCATGTGTGACAGCTTTAATAAGCATTGCTAGGGCTGCTGATATAATTAATTTTCTTTTTCTGAGATCTTATTCCCTTGTTAATACCAGGTATAGCAGGTATTGATTTTATCCTCTCAGAATATCAGTCCATGTTGATGGAGTGGGCTCAGGGTACGTAAGTGATTGGGTAAGTTGCCATAATAGCTTTTCTAGATAGTGCAGGAGTAGAGCTTATCCTTTAAATGTGCATGGTCAAAGGACCCATGAGAAATGTTAAGACATTTGAGAATTCATTTGCTGCTTGTTGTACTATCTGGAACAGCAAGGATGAATTTAAAAATTGTTTTGTTTAAAAGAACAGTAGTAAAAGCAAGTAAAAATTCAAATCCCCAACAAACCAAAATATGTTGTGGTTAGCCATGTCTTTGGTATGGAAAAGGAGGGACAAGTTGCTATTTGAGTAACATAAGGTGCCTAGATGAGTATTCGAAAGAGCATGTAGAAACTGACACAGAATGCAGTGGGATAAAGGGAAGAAAGAAGATTGCTAAATTTGCTGTTGTCCCTGATTTCTCGCAGCGATGGTATGTGTGGTAGTGCCTGCCCAGCTGTGTGCTTGCAGACGAGGCTCGCTTCGCAACAGGGTGCAAAGCCAGAGCAGTTTGCCGAGCGGTGCCACTAGGCGGAGGCAAACGCTGCGCAGTTCCCCTCTGCTGAGCAGGGTTAGGTGTGCCGATGGCAGCGCTTTTCCCCAAAGGAGGGGGCCCTTATGGGGATGGAAAGGCATTAGGAGCTCAACAGGAAGTAAAATGCTGCTGGCAGCCTCATCAGTGGCTGTCTCTGAGGACAAAATTCCTGGCTTCTATTTTATTTCACTTGCTGTGGTGATGCTAACTGGGTGCTGCTGCCTCTCTTGAGATGGATCCTTCAAGACACAAGGGTGCCTCACTGCCACCTGTGCTGGCCCTATTGCCGGCCAGTCACCTCATGTGGTTGCAGGAAGCTGTCTCCCAGATGTGTCCCATTGCCAGGATGGTATTCCTAAGAATACACTTCTGGGTTCTATTGCATTTGTCTCAGTTCATAAGGATGTTAATTGTACACTAGAAAACAAACCAGCTGCTTTCAGTCAAGTGTTTGTTCTCCTGGCTTCATTTGACAGTGACTCCTCCAGCACTGTACATGAATTGTTCTATGTGGCCTTAGGAGTGTTTTTTTCTGCACAGTCTTTGATAAAACCTGTCTTCCATGGCTGTTTTCTCTTTATGAAGATTTAGCAAGTGACTTGAGCTTGATAATGAGCATGGTGTGTCTCGGTTTCGTGCTTTGTTCCCTGTGGGGACTTTGGCCATGAGAACAGAGGGTATTTTCTGTCAACATTGCATCTTTCCAGGTCAACCCATTTGGACTGAGCATCCACATAGCCTAGAGAGCCCTTCTTCATAGCCTTTAATACAGATTGGATCTGACGCTCCATTCTGGGGCTTCAAGCTTTTTCTCACCTGAAGAAAGCTGTGCCCTCAGAATAATATCCACACTTAGCAGCAGCTACTTCATCTTTGAGCTTTGTGTGGAAGAAATGGCTGCTTACTGATGGGAGCGTTTTCAAACTAATGTTGATATTGCACTGATGTTTTGGTGGTTGCTCAGCAGCCTTTACATTAAGTGAGGACTCTTCAGCTTCTCACAGCATCCCAGCCGTGAGCAGGCTGGGGGGTATAAGAAGCTGGAAGGGGACACAGCTGGGACCCAAACTGGCCAAGGGATATCCCATACCATAGGATGTCATATTCGGTGTATAAACTAGAGGGAAAGCTGGCCAGACGTTTCAGCTTGGGCACTGCCTGGGTGCTGGTCTGTGGGTGGTGAACAACTGCATTGTGCATGATTTGCTTTGTATATTCCTATTCCTGTTTCTCGTCGTCTTCTTTTTCTTCTTTTTCTTCTTTTTCTTCTTTTTCTTCTTTTTCCCTTGTCTTTTCTTCCACTTTCTTTTGCTTTCTTTTATTTGCGTTCATTACTTATTGTTATTTCCCCTTCCTTTTCTGTATTATTGAATTGCCTTTGTCTCCACCCCTGCATTTTCCTTTTTTTCTGCATTTCTCTCCCCATCCCACGTAGTGAGTAGTGAGTGTGGTGCTTGGTTACCTGTCGGGTTGAACAGTGTCAGTCCTTTTTGGACCACACAACACGAGGAAGGAAGGATTGAGATAAAAACAGATCTGACCAGAGCATGTTAAACTAAATTTTTTATAAGTATTTTTTATAAGTAAGTTTTTTTTTTTTAGTCAGTGGTCAGAGTGTTGGTATATTTGATCTCAGAGGTGTTATGTGTTCTCTGAGTTTTGTTGTGTAAACACCACATTCCCTGCTGTGCTGTGTCACCTCTGGGGGCTGGCTTAAGGTCGTTCCTTGTACTGGGTAACACTGGTTTAGGAGACGGTGAAGATGCTGGCAGTGGCACTGAGCTGGTGTTTGTGCTCCTCATCTCAGTGCACAGGGAGCCATCTGTTGGAAATAAATACACCTTATACCTTGTGTATTTTGTATTTTGAAGACTTTGAATGTGCTTGGAAACATCTCTGGTTTTTTTCTGGTTTTTTTTTTTTTTTTTTTTTTTTAATAAATATAAAAACACTCAAGGAAGCTTGACTATCACAGAGGCTAACGGGAATCCCAGTCCACTGCTTCTCAAACCTGCTTCTCTGGAAAGTCAGAGAATCATGAGTTTACCGTATAACTTCTGAATTCCTCTCCTGTCATCTGCTGGAAGTCTGAAGGTTTGTGGGTTCTGATATGAGTAGAGTGGGTACATCAGAGCTCCACGGACACTGGAATGAGCAAGTCCCAAAGAATGGCCAAATTCATGAACAGCAACGAGGAACAAATTGACATCTGCAACATAGAAACACATAAATGGATGTTAAAGGTATGGCATTTCTTTTTAAAATACAATTCATTGAAAGTGTGGGAGAATTTGTATATTTCAATCCATCTTGGAATGCAATCCCAGGATTTTGATCCATTATCATTAAGCTTTCATACATTATGGTAATATTTTATTAAAAATATACTGATTCCTTGCATATGGTCAACTTCATTCCTAGAAGCAAGTCAATTTACCTGTTCAGAATTTTTGTAGGAAACAGGGTCTCACAGTTCTTCTTTAGCCTGCAAAAAGTGCTTTAAATTGTGGACAGGACAGACATTATGTAGGTGCTCATGGTAATGAAGCCCTAGTAGTTATAAAGTTAGTTGAAAAGGATAGAAATGTTAGCACTGAAGTAGCACTGAAGGATGAAGAGTAATGGAAAGCAGTTCCTGTGGCTGTGTTCTTCCAACATGTATAATATTTGCCTTCCCCTTTCATCTACACAAGTGAGCTTTACCTTGATTGACATCTGACCATTTTTCATCATCATCAAAATGAGCATCTCCACCAATCCCTTCTCCAGGTGTGAACGCATGGGCCAGCGTGCCACCTCTTCCATCGAAAGGAGATCCATCACCATGCTCTGCATTTGAGATAAATCAATGTCATCAGATGAGATCAGTTGTCATATTTAACTTCAGCAAGTAGAAGCATGCTGTTGGTTTGTGCTAGTTTTGCTGGTTGCCAGTCCTTAC